TACCGACCGAAGCATCAATGCCCGGTCAGCACCATATGGAAGGTGAGTCTGCGTCCCCTCCTACCTGTCATTTCTGGCAGGCAGGGGCGGACGGCAACGACCGTTCGAAGCCCGAATCCTCGGGAGTCGGCCAGTATGGCCGACCATCGTTCTGAGGACTCAGGCCTCGGCCTGGTATCTTAGGGCCCTCAGGCCCCTGGCCGACAAACCCTATCCCTCCTCGCGGAGCTCTTTCACCCTGCAGTAGAGGGTGTGCCTCTGTTCGACTAGGAGCTTCACCAGCGGGGAGCCGGCAAGGGTCGTCGCTGCCCTGTACGAGACGGTGCGGTACCCTCGAATCGCCCGCACGATCATCGACCGCGTGGCTTGACGCAGGAGCGCCTTGCTGCAGCTGGAGGCCATAAGCCGGGGCGTCCATATGAGCGCCCCGTAGAAGGCGATCGAGACTAGCATACCTATATAGGAGCGTGCCATCCAGGGCCCCCTGGATCTTCATTAGGACGGCTAGAGCCAGGCCTGTCTTTCGGACCCGGGGAGCCAGGTCCTTGAAGTGGGCCCCAAAATCCCACCGGCCATCCAGCGTCAGGGCCAGATATTTGATCGTGGGCCTGACGCGGACGTGGACTCCGTCCACCAAGACCCGGGTCTCCGGCGGCGCTCCATGGCTGCCGTCGTAAAAAAAGACGGCCTATATTTTTTGGGGCGCCACATTCAGACCCAGGTTCGTGATGGCTCCCTCCACGGAGTGCAGTGCAGCTTCCGTTCGGAAGCCTATAGCATTCTCAGTCCCATAGCAGGGGGCCGAGAACCGACTTCTGCGGGACACCACGCTCCATGATGCGCCGATCCTGGACCCCGCCTCTCCCATAGTAGGCGAGATCCCTGCCCCCGAAGTAGGCCGACAGGATTTGCCGGAGATAGGCGGGCACCCCGTGATATTCGAGGGCCCGCCCAATCTCCGGCTAGGGCAGAGTATTAAAGGCGTTGGTAATGTCCAAGAACACCGTCAACAAAACCCCGTCCTCCCTCTTCACGACCACCCGAGTCAGGTACCGCATCCGCTGGATAGCGTACAGCGTGGACTGTCCTGGCCTGAATCCATATTGCTAGTCGTGGAGGTTCGGCCCCTCTGAGGACAGATGCGGACAGACGAGGCGGTCGGCAATGATGCGTTCAAGCATCTTGTCCGTCTCGTCCAGCAGGCCTATCGGCCTAAAATCGGCGCACCATCGGACATTTTGCTGTCCTTCAGGAGAAGGACCAGCTTGGCCCTCTTCCACTCTGGGGGAAATACCCCCTCCCTGAGACACCCGTTGGACGTGTCCCGCATGGTTATGAACAGATTCCCTCGCCATGGGTGAGAACCCAGGCGCAGCCAGGTATAGCATCGGGGCCAGGTGCTTTGCCCTTGGCCCCGAGATTTTTCCTGACCATAGTGAGCTCCTCTGGAGAGACCTCCAGACCCTCGTCCAGTCCCCCTCCCACAACTCGGAGAAAGCTCGCTCGCTCCTCATCGCGCGCGCTCGCCTATCGACACTCGCTGACTCCGCCTGTCAAATGTCTATGTGCTTACTGCGGCCGCCCTCCGCTCTCTATGCTCTCGTTGACTCACATGTTTTAATTAATAACACGGTAACTATTGCCAATTTGACATTATGGTACATGACTTTTCGCCTCGGCTATACCCAATCCATCTCCAACTTTCGTCTGCATGATCAGCTATCAAACAACCTGTATATATACCAGCTTTATATATATATATATAAAGCTCGTGTATATATATATATATATATATATAAAGCTGGTATATATATATATATGTAAAGCTGGAATATATATATATATATATATATATAAAGGGTGTTATAAATGTCCGGGAAGAGCAGAATAACTCGAAAAATATGAGTCCTAGAAAAAATGCGAAGTACTGGGTTTTTATGATTTTTTCCTGGCTATCTGACATAGACCTTGGATTTGACCTTGACAATGACCTTGAAGGTCATTTCAAGGTTAGGTCAAATTTTTTAAATGGGACCCCATACTTTTGACCCCAGAAATGAAAAGAGTGGAAAATTTTACGTTCGGGTATGACCTTGAACACTGCCAAATTTTACCTCTGGAGGTCACATGAAGGTCTAAACTTGTTTTAGGCTGAAAACGCGAAAATGCACCTGCTAGGGAGTAATGTTACGCATAAGAATAAGAATGTAGAGGTCAACGAGGGACATTCGGCCGTGACCTTGCCCTTATTCTCAAGGTCATGAGTTAAGATTATTATTAAGGTCAAACCGGACTTTTTTAGGTCTGAAAATCCATACTTTTGACCTAAAAGTGTCAAGATTGAAAAATTTTACTTTCGGATATGACGTTTTCAACCTTGACCTTGTTCTCAAGGTTATGTGTCAGTCATATCAAGATCAATTAATTTTTTTTAGGCTGGAAACACATACTTTTACCCCCCCCCCTCAAAATGTGAAGAGTGAGATTTTACGTTACGTACGAGGTCACACTCCGATTGTTGGTAATTCCTCAATATCGGGCGCCATTTGGATCTTGAATTTGTAAAATCCAACGTCGGATTCGATTTCAGAAACGACTTCAAGAACTCCTTAAACGAGATCCAATTTTTGTTATTCTTAAATTTCGGCCACTATCTTGAATTTGCAAAACCCGATGTCGGATTCGGTTTTAGCAAGCTCAAAAATCCCAGGATCGGTATCCGATAAATTTATTCGCCATCGTTAAAGTGTATGCTTCAAAGTTTTTGTCTCGATTCTATCAGTGTCAAACAGATAATAGATTGTTTTTGAGTTTTCATCGATTTAACAAGTTTTGATGTCATTCTAGTCCGTTTTGAATTATTATCATATTATTATTAACGATCAATGATACATTACTTATTATTTTTATTTAAAGGTAAAGAAACCGAATCTTTTATACCAAATTTTTGCAAATTTTTTGTTTTAAATTCCAAATGGCTTCTCTTACAGAGCATGAAAGTTTCGCTATTGATGATGAGAGGATGGGGGGATAGACAAAGGTCATACAGTGAAGTGATTGTTGTTCAATGAAAACTTTCGTAATGAAGGCGAAGGTATTTCAATATCGACTGTATCTCGCACCATCAGACGATTTGTAGAAACTGGGAGTAATAAAAACCGTCAAAAATCTGGAAGGCCAAGGTCCTAAACGACAAAAGAGCGACAATTTGAAGTAGCCCAATCATTTGTTGAAAATCCCAGATTGTCAATTAGAAAAGCATCTCAACATCTTCAAATGAGTGTATTGTCAATTTCCAAAAATCTAAAGACCATTAAGTTTCACCCCTACAAAATTCATCTCCACCATGAGTTGAATGAGGATGATTTTGACTGCAGGGTGCAATTTTCAGAAGTTATGATGCAAAAAATTGATCAGCAACCGAACTTTTTGCATAATATCGTTTTTTCAGACGAAGCGTCTTTTGAAATTACTGGTAAGGTAAACCGTCATAAGTTTAGATATTGGGACAACGAAAATCCTCATTGGATGCTTGAAGCACATACGCAGCGACTTCAAAAATTGAATGTTTGGGCAGATCTATATGATAACCAAGTGGTTGGGCCTTTCTTTATGGGCCTTTTTTAATGGGAATTTGAACTCAGAAACCTATCTGCAGCTTCTAACAGACTAAATTGTTCCATCAATACAGGAGATTGTTGGTGATAATTTTGATGATGTTTGGTTCCAGCAAGATGGGGCACCGCCACATTATGGACGCATTGTTCGGCACTATTTAAACGATACTTCCTTTAATCGATGGATAGGTAAAAGAAGAACAATCGAATGGCCACTGAGATCGCCCGACATTGCACCACTTGATTTCTTTCTTTGGTGTTACATAAAGAATAAAGTTTATTTCATTAAACCTCGTAACCTGGACGAGCTTCAACAACGGATCATAGATGAATGTGCTGCAATACCTCCAGAAATTATAAGGAGTGCGACTGACAATTTGTACGTCCGCTTAGCACACTGTCAAACGGTCAATGGGGAACATTTTGAACATCTCTTGTAATCTCAGGCCGAGTTACAAGATGCTTTGCCTTCGGTGGCCAGGACTAACTGAACCTTGCCTTCAGTGGTCGGGTTTGAGACACCTTGCCTTCAGTGGTCGGGTTTGAGACACCTTGCCTTAAGTGGCCGGGTTTGAGACACCTTGCCCTCAGTGGTCGGGTTTGAGACACCTTGCCTTCAGTGGTCGGGTTTGAGACACCTTGCCTTCAGTGGTCGGGTTCCGAGACGCTTTACTTTCAGTAGACTTCACGATCAGTGACGTAACGTAAAACGCATAATTTTGAGAACAAGATCAAGGTTGAAAACGTCATATCCGAACGTAAAATTTTTCAATCTTGACATTTTTAGGTCAAAAATATGGATTTTCAGTCCTAAAAAAGTCCGGTTTGACCTTAATAATAATCTTAATTCATGACCTTGAGAATAAGGGCAAGGTCACGGCTGAATGTCCCTCGTTGACCTCTACATTCTTATTCTTATGTGTAACATTGCTCCCTAGCAGGTGTATTTTCGCGTTTTCAGCCTAAAACAAGTTTAGACCTTCATGTGACCTTCAGAGGTAAAATTTGGCAGTGTTCAAGGTCATACCCGAACGTAAAATTTTCCACTCTTTTCATTTCTGGGGTCAAAAGTATGGGGTCCCATTTAAAAAATTTGACCTGACCTTGAAATGACCTTCGAGGTCATTGTGAAAGTCAAATCCAAGGTCACCGTTAGATAGCCAGGAAAAAATCATAAAAACCCAGTACTTCGCATTTTTTCTAAGACTCATATTTTTCGAGTTATTCTGCTCTTCCCGGACTTTTATAACACCCTGTATATTGTTGTGTACGAGCCACAAGGAGTATGGAAGCGTCCGTTGTCCGCGAGCCTTAGGCATATGGATTTTGACAGTTGAAGGATGTTTGTCTGGACGACGGGAGTTTGTTGAAAAACAACAGCAGCAGAGTCTGTCACGAGCCGTCGCCGCGAGCAGACGTGACTTAGATGTTTCTTTTTAATATTGTTAAGACGAGAGGATTTTCGTGAGTCTGTACATATTGGAAGTAAAGCGGAGTTCTTCTTTTCCTCTAATCCCATGTTGGTTCATTTCGCGGATCCGGTACGCGCGAGACGGACACGCGTAATATATATATATAACCGTGTTCATATTTATATTTTAGATATAAATATCAAACAAGTAACTATATTTTGACTATTCGTCCACAAGTACTTATTCTTTCAATGTCGTTTTTTCGATAGATTATACACCACACACACATATACGCGCGCGCACATACGCACAAATATATTCTTATTGTTGCGCAATTACGTTCATTTTTATATTTTAGTTAATCTAATTTGCACTTCTACTTGTGTAATACAAAGAAAAAATTTAAGAAATACATAATTGTACGTCTACATGTATACATTCATAGATATAATTATTTAATTATTTAAACGCTTCTTTGCAAATGAAACTATGCATTCTATATTCGCTCAAATTATAAACTAGTTAAAATGAGCGTTATCAATAGATGTTAACATTTATTACTAGTTTTGAAAGACGCGATTAAGTGTAAAGCATCATTATATAGAACATCAATATAAACATCTTATTACCGTTCTCATATTAGTCACGCAATTGTTAAATTTTATTATTACTTTTACTTTTTCGGGAAGTTATATTTAAAATATGTTATAGAATGCTCGCATATATTTTAAGCATAAGAATTATATATCAGGAATATCAGTAATATATCAGATGTATAGAAAAAAAAGAAATTCATGTGCATTGTATGAAATTACAATTATAGCACGTTCAGAAAATGCGTATTTTATATACAAAAAATTTAACTAATACATCTCACTAAAGTATGTCTTACTCGTTAACTTCATGAACATTAACTTTATGCATTACTTATTACTGTATGCATTACTTATTAGTGTATAAATAATCTTTTCCTTGTTCTTCCGTCGTAATATTACTAAACTATATTACTAGATTTCATATATAATAAATCTTCAACGATACTTATTATATTATTAATGTGCTGGCGGTGGTGACGAGGGTGGATCATGACGTGAATCCTGTAAACACAAATAAATCTATATATTATATACATATAAAAAAATAGTAAAAGAATAAGTATATTATACACTCACAGGTTCATTTTTGTTTCTTTTAATAATATCATTGCTCAATTGTTGCAAAGATCTTGGTCTTAATGCATACATGAAAATAATAGCACCCAAAATTAGACAAATATTAAGGAAACAAATTGGAGATTCCTGGACGACTTGAGGTTCTGATACTGGAAAGAGAAAGAAAGAGAAGTTCTCATTGATATAATAAATTACTTTTTTATTGTCAATTCTATATTTAGCTTTGAATTTAGATATGAAAAAATACTGAATTTAACTAACAAGGGGAGGACGCATCGATCGGAAAACGGTTTGGAACGAAAGTTACGGAGTTAATAGTACTTGACTACTAATAACTCATGGTAATAGCATAGGATGCAATACCTCTTCGTTTTCGAGAAAAAATGGTCTAAAAAAAGAGCCAACAAAGTGTGCGAGTTAGTAAGAAAGATATTCAACGAAGTGACGTAGCAGAGCAGCGAAAGTAACGGACTATCGAGCTGACGGCTCAGATTCGATCTCTGCTGTATGGTTTTTTTTTATTCTGTAAGCATAAGAATAAAACAGAAAACATTAATAAATAATAAAACTACGTTTCTTAAATATATTAGTGTTTGTTAAATATATTATTGATTTAAATTGCAAAAAGACCGTAAATCTTATCTATAAAATATATAGTGCATGAGAAAATTTTTATATAATAATTGCAATGGAAATAGGAATAAAAATATTGTTATGAAATATATAGGAATGCTATTAACCCTTTGCGGTCGATGTCGCCATAGTGGCGGCATTCGCAAGTCGTTGTAGAAGTCGATGCCGCCAGGCATTCATGATCGCCTGGCGTGCAGCACGGCAAATGAGGCTAGCGATAATGAAAGAAAACTATCCTCCTGATGCTAGATTCAAATGTTTAGATCAACTTACAGATATCCATGTTTATCGATCTCTTCGAAATCGGCCGATCGCAAAGGGTTAAACTAGTATGAGATAATTTTTCGTAATCTTATATCGTATATATAAAATATTTATTTCTGTTACAACTCTCTATGTTGTATTGAAGTCGTGTTGTGTTGAAGTTGTGTTGTGTCTTTATCTCTTCTGGCAATCCCCCTCCAAAAACTTTCTTTGTGTCATTCTAAACGTTAAGAATGACGAAATGATTCGAGCATCGGAACAGTCGTCAGTAGAGCAAGCAGCAGTGTGCACTTACTAGTGGTACAGAGCAATTCGGTGATCATATTTAAATTACATATATCATAACAATATCAGAGAATCCTTCAACAAGCAAAATAGTTGATGTAGAATCGCTAAAAGAAAGATCTTTTGAAAATGAAAATTTTAAAGGTGAATTCACTAATGCTCTCGTATATGCGAATTCTATTTATGAGAGTAATGAATTATTATCGAAAAATCCTCCATCGAAAATATAATATATTTTTATTCCTATTTCCATTGCAATTATTATATAAAAATTTTCTCATACACTATATATTTTATAGATAAGATTTACGGTTTTTTTGCAATTTAAATCATTAATGGTATATTTAACAAACATTAATATATTTAAGAAACACAGTTTTATTACTTATTAATGTTTTCTGTTTCATTTTTATGCTTACAGAATAAAAAAATTTATACAGTAGGGATTGAACCTCAGCCGTCAGCTCGGTAGTCCGTTATCTTCGCTGCTGCGCTACGCCGCTTTGTTGAATACCCTTCTTAACTAACTCGTACACTTTGTTGGCTCTTTTCTTTAGACCGTTTTTTCTCGAAAGCGAAGAGGTATTGTGTCGTATGCTATTACCATGAGTTATTAGTAGTCAAATACTATTAACTCCGTAAGTTTCGTTCCAAACCGTTTCCCGGTTGATGCGTCCTCCCCTTGTTAGTTGATTCGAATTCAAATAATTTGCACATCTCTGTTAGCTATAAGATTAATATATTTATTATGATTAGAGTAGTATTCAGTAATGGTACAAAACATGATACATACATCTAGATACATTAAGACATTCAATATCCGTACAATAGTCCTGTGATTGTCGCAACTGGAACAGTAGTTTATAATAAAAATATACATGCTTTAACTTTGGAAAGTGTGCAATGAAATAAATAACATTCAATTTTTGTAGGTATTTCAATTAATTGGTAATGGTAATGGTAACTGGTAATGGTAATGATAAGTAGTGCAAAGATGTTATAATACATTATATATCATAAGTATTAAAGATTGAATTGATATTGACATAATTAATTTAATAAAAATTACCTTTTGCATTCATTAATATTTTGTAAATTTTTTAACTTTTAGTACTTGTAAAATTTAGTCATTATTATCATAAATTTTCTTTTTTCAAGAGTGAACAAATATAAAACTAAATATTTTTGGTCCTTTTTTATTTATGTGATTTAAACCTTCATATTCAATTTACAACAGATATTCATCAGCAATCAACTTGTACAATGGAAACATTTTTATTTAACTGTAAAGTACAAAAATTTTTGCAGTCTAATTGAAGTGGTTATATCATTAATAATCCAAAGAAACTGTTAATATGCTATGTATGTATAAAAAAAGAAAAATAAGAAAATTTATCTCTTTCATTTGCATATGATTTTACATCATGATGGCACTGATAATTTGTATTATATATCCTGTAACTTACAATAGAAAGTAAATGCTGTATGGACAAATGATACTGCATACATTCGCATGGATCAAATTCTTTGCCACTCATCGTGGTAGGAAATTGGTTCCTCAGATTTATAATCCACAACTGCTGCATATAATTACAGAATTTTTTTATTTATAAATACTTATAGTTTCAAATTATTTAACATAATTTGCTGTAAATTTAACATATTGCTCTGATACTCAAATAGATATTTTGTCAATGATAATATATATATTATTCAACTTTACATGAAATAAAAAATATAAAATAAGATATATAGAAGTTAAAATTTGCAAATTTATTTATTGAGACATCAGATGTTGCATTATTTTGCAATTAATAATGATTTATTGAAATATATTATTTTAATATATTATTTTAAAATATGTAGTCTTAACATTGATTATCATGTAAAAAAGTCAAATATCATGAATGTCATGAATATCAAGTTTTACACAGTTTTAACATCTTGCACAAAATAGCTAATTGTCAATGTTGTACAAACAAGAAAAGAATACATTCAATTAAAAAAAAAGAATCATGCTTATTATGCTTATATATATATATACATTTATATATTTATGTATATATATAATTTATAATTAAATATACAGTATATACATAGGCAGTTTGAAAAGTTCTCGATCTGACACATACATGGCATTAGAAACTGTCAAACTATAATTGTATTGGAAAGTGGCATCCCTGATATAAACCAATGTAACATTTTATTTGATCTATCAAATTATTCGAGTAATAGTAGTACCAGTTGAAAACGCTTTGTGCAAGATGGGTGCCACATTTGCTAACAATTCACCAAAAACGCATTCGAATGTGTATTTCTCAAGCGTGTTTGGATTGTTTTAAGCAAAATAAAATAGATTTCAAGAGTCGTTTCATAACTGTTGATGAATCTTGGATCCACTATACACCAGAGTGAGAACCTTCCGGAATCACACTTTAATGATGGTATTGAATTATTGGAAAAACGTTGGAATAAATGTATTGAAGTTTCAGGAGATTATATTGAAAAATAAAATACGTTTCACCGCAAAAAAAATTTTTTTCATTATTAGGCCGAGAACTTTTTGGACTGCCCTCGTACATATATATATAACCTCAATAACATACTTTCTTCTTACACATTAAATCAGTCAGATAGATATCCATTTGTTCTAATAATAAAACATTGTGTTACTTTGTTTTCATAATAAACATAATGCAATGTTTATATGCTTGTCAAGAAAATGTCACATTTTACACAAAATAAACTAAGATAGATATTCCTTGATTTTTTACATATTTGTGGTGAAATGTAAAAGTACAAACAATTCATGAAATAGTTGGTATAATCAAAATCATAATGTTAATAAATTTCTCATATATATTTAAATGCAAACGGATAGTTTGCATAAATTCAGGTTGCTATATAATTTATGAAACCCGCACCAATGAGACAATACAGTAAAAAATCTAATTGCTTTCTTATGATATTTTCAAGTATCTGATTCCAGTGTTAAAATACAATTTTTATACAACAAAAATAAAATTCGTCAGTGTTGCAAGTTTATAACATGTAACACATTTCAATATCAACAATGTAAAATATGCCATTAGATCATATAATAAACAATCATATGAACAGATATTTTCTCGAGAGTCGATTATAATTGGTTAACTTGATACATCATACTATGATGCGTATCAAAAGAATACGAGTATAATGACACTGAATGGTATGTTGTGTTATATATAACTACCGGATGGCCAAGGTGTAGTCCATATGTCAATTTAGTATATTATATTGAACAATTATTATAATGGAAAATACCGTCAAGACGGCATATTCTATTAAACTTACCGTACTGATAGAAGAACAAAATGAGCGGAAATAAAAATTGATTATCTTCGCTAATAAAAAACAGCTTGTCACTACACCTCAAATGTATTACGATTATATTCTTTGGACCTTGTCAGCCATTACGAACGTCAAGAACAGGGGGTACAGCAGAGAGAAGCCTGAGAGCGGGCATGGCTGCATTTACAGCGTTATGGAAAAGTTGGCTAGTGTCCCTAGAACTAAGAGTCTGGCCATGCACACAAAATGGCGACTAAATAGTGTAGATAAGTGTTCGTGGTGCTTGTACTCTTTGCACTTTTCGCGCTGAAAAACAGACGAAAAATAGGGTCGTTAAAGTGACAAAGAGAGGCTATGAATAAAAGACGTAAAATTGTGATATAAAAGGACAAATAAGAAGACGTCAGAAAGGTAAGTAATAAATGGAAAGATGTATTATTCTAATAAGAAACGGAAATTATATGTAACTATCAGTTATTACGTATTACTTTAAGAGAATAAAACACGTATGTACTCTGTAAACACAAAATAAATGTTCACATTTATATCATTATTATTTATATATGATAATATTGAAATGAAATGTATTTACAGGATACAAGATGCCTTCTTGCTGTGTAGTACAATGTACAAATTCGTCAAAAAAAAAATTCAGTACATCGCTTGCCTACTGAAACAGAAAGAAGAAAGAAATGGGTGCAGAATATTAATAGGCCTAATTTAGATCCTACAGCAATATATTGTGTATGCGAGGTAAGCTATCTTTGTAGTTTACAACATTGACAATCTATATTAATATTATTTATATTTAACAGGCACATTTTGCACCAGAAATGTGGGAGAAACCACGTGTGGACAGCAAGAAAAAATTAAAACGTTGTGCAGTTCCAACAATTTTTTCAACAAACAAGGAAATAAGTTCAAATATTGTTCAAATGGATTCTACTTCAGCAAATGTAAGTATATAAGTGAGTAAGTTTACAGTAACATTGTATCATGTATATATGTACTTGCATTGCAGAATTTACATGTCATGAGATATATCGTTAATAATAGTGTTGGTTATCCATTATAGGTTGACGTCAATAGTACAACATTAAATAGAACCGGTGATGAAGAACTCTCAGTTGATTTGGTGGAGCAGGATATAGAAGAAATAAAATCAAGTAATGACAATGTTGAGTACACAAGCAAGATTTTAAATGAAACAGAAACAGCTGTAATTCCAATAATGTCACCCATTGCAAAACCTGCCATACCTGTGCAATTAAATATAAATGAAGAAAACGTGAAGAAATTGTTAGAGATGTTGAGAATAGAACTTAGAAAGCTCTATCAAAAGAGAGACAGGCACAATTGAAGTTGCAAGAAGCAAACAAAATAATTACAAAATTAAATAAATCAAAAAGGATGTTGATAAAACGCGTGAACACTCTAACGCATGAAAAAAAGAAATTAATACAAGAAATGTTTTATCTGAAACAAAGTAAGAACATTAAAAACATACTGAATGACGATCAAATCACAACTCTGTGTAAACCATCTAAACGATGTAACAGTTGGTCTAAAGCTACTCTGCAAAAAGCTGTTAGATTGAAATTATCTTGCGGCAGTAACGGGTACAAAGAGATTTTACATCAGGGAATTCCTTTATCTTCTGAGCGCACACTTAGAAGAAGATTAGAAGGAATGGATTTTATTCCTGGAATTTCTGATCATATTTTTGACGTACTAAGTGAACGAATATCACACTTCACCGATAATCGAGAAAGAGACTGTATGCTCGCCATCGATGAGATGATCAATGTAGGCGAACAAATCGATCCAAGTATAATGTCACGTATTGGCTTTTCGACTCTCTCTGATCGTAATGATAAACTATAACTTGAAATATATCCAATTATACATGTTAACTATGTTTACAGAGTGGATATGTCTAATCAGCTCACTGATTCCATTAATATCCATCCTGTATATGGAAGTATATATCTTGTATATGTCTTGTATATGTCTTATATAGTAGATTGCATATATTATGATTATGTTCTCTACAGCAAACGACAGGCAACATAATGTCATGTGGTATAATTTATGCTTTGTGTAGGACAGCAACTTATGTATGCACAAAAGATTTTGTTTTACACGCAAATGTTTGCTGTATTTACATATGATCGAAAGACCATAACTTTTGTACATATCTAATAACATATTTTATTTAAAGAACATTACAGTCGTTTCTAATTTTATATTAATGTAGGTGAGATGATCAACGCTACTCATGCATTAGTGTTCATGCTTGGAGGCATTTTTACAAGATGGAAAATACCCGTTGCCAATCACTTTACTCCTAATAGCGTAGATGGTGCTATATTGAAACCTATTGTAGAAACTATTATTGCAAAGGCAGAAGCTATTGGTTTGTACGTCCATAGTATAACATCTGACATGGGTCCACTTAATTTAGGAATGTGGAGAGCATTTGGTGGTATCATAGGTAACAGATACTCAAAAATTAAAAATTCTATAGTGCATCCTATAGATCATACACGACGATTGTTTTTTATGGCCGATGTTCCGCATTTATTAAAATACTTAAGGGCGTCTTCATTAAATAATAAAGTTATAGAGTTACCCATAGAATTTGTACAGGCACATAATTTATCCCAACCTGTTGTGAAATGCCAACATTTACTTGAATTGATAGAAATTCAAGAAAACTTAGAGTTAAAATTAATACCAAAACTTAAAAAAAGCGACATGATGTATAGTACATTCAACAAAATGAAAGTGAACAAGGCGACACATATTTGGAGTCGGGATGTCAGTAGCGCAATATATTTTTATGCTGAAGAGAACAAGAAAACTGAATTTAATACGACAGCGGCATTTGTTGAAATTGTTTCAAAATGGTTCACTTTAGCAACATCACGAACATCAAAAGTTGCGTTAGGAAAAACAGCGAGTGATGAAAATATACAAATTAAATTTAACGATAATATCGCTTTCCTAAAATCAGTTGTGGAACTTTTCAGAGAGATTAAAATTGGTCACGACGCGAAATTTAAACCTGTACAGAGCGGTGTTATGATTACTACAACGTCACTTATTGAATTGACACAATTTCTTATTGATGAACGCAAATATGTATACGTATTGACATCTCGTTTCACGCAAGACTGCCTGGAAAACCTGTTTTCTTCCATACGAGTAAAGCATCCCGTTCCTACTGCCTTGCAATTTAAACAAAATCTGAAACTTATCGCAATATCGCAATATTTACAATCACCACATACCTCTTCGTATGAAAAAGATGATGGGCAAATTATTGGTGATTTTTTCAATAAACCCAAAATAGTAAACGATATTGGAGAGTGTACACAAACGTCTGTGGATATATTACATGTTTTGAAGTCTAACAGTAATATTTCTTTAGATAATATAGAATTAAATGTTTTATTCAATATAGCTGGCTATATTATATCGAGTATTGCAATATGCACGAATATATGTTCTAAATGTTTACTTTCTGTTGGCTCTAAAACGTATAATCCCATTCAAAAATATAATAAATTTGTGCAATTGAGATGTTTCCGTGCAAAAACATAGTTTTTTGTGAATGACGAAACTTTTAACTACGTTCATATAATGGAACTTATTATAAGACGTTATCTTTCTTATGTCAAAAATAACACTATAAATTGTTTAGAGTTTTACACAGATAAAATGAAAAATGTTACATGTACTACAATTCTGAATTGTCATGACTTGTTGTTAAAGATACAAAAGCGTTTCATTATATATCGAATGCGCATTTCTTGCAAGCGAAATTGCTTAAAAAATACATATAACAGCAAAACGATGGCAATGCACTCCACAGTAACATAATATGTTACAAATATATTTAAGTATATATTTCATTTTAATAATATGTTACGGTGGATTGATTTGCCATCGTTTTGCTTGTTATTTAATATGTTATGTTATGTTACATTATAATGCTACGTTATGTTTATATAAAGACAATTATATTACTTTCTAGTATGTATAACGTGCAATATGAATAAATAGCAAATATGAAATATGTTTTTAGTTATTTGACGTGTACAAGTGTTTGAATTGACGCTCGATTCTGATTGGAGCCGCCATTGTGTGTGCAAGTTAACATCAGCCAATCAAAACAGACGTACATGTTGGCCAGACTCTTAGTTCTAGGGACACTAAAGTTGGCTGATTCGAAGCGCCAACTGGGTCCATTTTTCATGGACATGAACTTCTTAGCCAATGTCCACGATTTGTTGGTACTATTCCGTGCTATGTCCACAATTATTTGGTCCTGTTCTGTGCTATGTTCACGAGCGAGCTAGATTAGTTAGATAAAAACGAAGAATCGATCTTTGTCTCATCACCAGCGAATAGACAATCGCGACGAAACGAGCCAGCAGCGATGTTATCGTAAGGCGGACGTTGCCGTCTCCCCTTTCACCCCCTTATTTTCCTTTCCACATTGTTTTATATTCATAATTCGGGAAGAAAATAATTTCGAGAGTTCGGACGATTTCTAGCAATGACGCGACAGAGATAACACACGGCCACATTCATTTGTCATGACTTTTATATTACTTATAATTACGCCCATATATGTAAATTATAGATAATTATTGCGCGTATGTTTTAATATTGTACAATATGGTATATAATAACAACAACTTCATTTCTTGCAGTAATTTTTTTAAGATCTTTGTTGAGATCTTGAATTAATTTTTTTCTTCATCAATCAGTTTTCTGCAAAAATTAAGATTTTTTAAATAAAATATAAAATGTTTCTCTTCTCTTCTCTCCGAAGAGTTAATTAAAAAATATGTACTCCACAGAGTCAACTAACAAATGTATAGTCAGAAGAGTCAACTCAAAAGTGTACTCCGAAAAATCAGTCAATTTAATAGCGTATTCCGAAAAGTCAATTTTAAAGCGTACTCTGAAAAATCAAATTAATATTGTAATCCGAAAAGTCAATTTATAATAGAATATTTACTTCGATGATTCAGCTAAAGAAAAAAACATTTATTCATTATTATATTCAGAGAATAATATTTAATTTATTGCGAGAACTGCGAATAATTTTCGAAAACGAATGGAATACAATTACGCAGGATGAAATTAAAAGACTAATAAGGAGTATGCCTGATCGTATGAATGAGGTAATACGCGCACGAGGCAGTCATACCCACTATTAGTACACACACACCACACACACAGCAGAGAGGGTTTGGAGTCATTAATTATTGCAGGAGTGACGAACTGCGGGGTCCTTATCTCTGCTGTAACTCCACACACACACACACACACACACACACACCACAAGGAGGGTGTGAAACCTTGAAATACTGTGGAGCTGACGAACCACGGGGTGCTTATCCTTATGGTATACAAACACACACACACACATACACACACTCACACTACATACAATGGAACTTTTCCTACCAGTAAAACTCCAAGCGGTTTATATTGGGAAGACTTACAACCATAATTTAAGCTACCGCTAACAGCGGTATCTTAAAACGCAATTCATCTTTATTACGTAATATCGATTACACAAAATGAAGAACCTAAATTGAATTTTACTTTCATTTCCCTGGCTTTCAAAATAATAAATGCAAATCATTGAATATATTGTGCAGGATATGTAAATTATTATATAGAGAAACATGAACACAGCTATTGAAATTATGAAAGAGCCAAACGAACCGCAGAGCCTCTTAGCCCCTTAAGCCTCGCTGAATCAACATTTGTTGCAAATTCGAAATTGAATATCTCGACACCTAAATATCCTAGCAGCAAATTTCATAAACGGTTTGAAAGCTTTGAAACCGTACTTTTCGAAAGATCTATCGAAATTGTGCGCAACGATATTTTTTCAAAATGGCGGATGATAAAAAGGAGAACATGAAAAGTTACTAAAAAAAGGTTCGAGCGTGCGACAGCGCATGGAGCAAAGTAAGTGTCGCAGTTCAATAGGACGAAAAGTATCTAAAAGTATAGAATGTTTTCTTTAAAATACTTCGTTATAGAGCTTGATGCGATACTTATTCACTGAATTATGCAAATTTAGCAAGAAAACCGCATTTTTAGCAAAATTTGGAACAACTCAGTGAAAAATGGTCATATCGAGCTCGGTAAAGTAGCATTTTAAAGATAACACTCTATACTTTCATGTGCATTTGGTCCCATTACGCTGCGATATCTGATGCACACCATGCACTATCGCAAACACGGACCTTTGATTATCAATTTTGCATCCTCTCACTTTATCATCCGCCATTTTGAAAAAAATAGCCGAGCATAATTGCCATTCAGATATTCTTAAAGAAGACGTTTCAAACTTCATTTTGCATTTCTGCGCATATTTGTATCTTCATTATTTACCAAGTTATGATCACTTGAAATTTTGTAATTTTTTCCCAAATTTTTAGTGTACCAGGTTTTTGGCGTTTGAGTGTATATTATATAATATATGAACATAAATTTTTAAAAGTAAAAATTATATCGTGTTATAAAAATTTTACACGTTTGTTAGTAGTGTCCAATATTCAAAAAAATATCTTTTTAAAGTTTATATTATTCAAAATATTCAAGAAAACCTAACTTACAAGTAAAATTTATCATTCTTTATTAGAACACTGAGTTATATGCTTATTTTACTTGTTATTAAGTTTATATAGTATTATAATAAATTATAAACCTTCATTATAGAATATACATATCGAATGTATATATATTCTACATATTTTGATATTTTTTTATTCAAAGATGTTATTCTTATTATAATTAACGAAATATCAATGACATCTATAATTTGACTTTAAAAAACTATATCGAACTAAAACTTGATATCACTTAACTACTATATATCACTATATCACTATATCACTATATAGTGAAACTAATATATCAATTCTTTTGTACAGTAGAATAGTGTTGCAGTGTTTTATTATAGTTATAAGTTTTACTTGTAAAAACTTATGTACACATATCAGGTGTAGTAAAGTGTAGTAGTAAAAAGAAATCCATTATTTTTACATAAAATTGAAGGCTTTAATTACCATAGTTAGAATGATCCGATTTAGATCAAATATGTGCCGTCTTGTTCGATAACTTGTTGCCATTTTGAAGGTAATTTTATTATGCCTCTCTCATAGAAGCCTTCGTCCCTATTGGCAAAAAGTTGAAACAGTCGATTTTCACAAGCCTCTCTTGAAGCGAATTTTTCACCAGCAAAATTGATCGCCATGGACAGGAACAGATGGTAATTACTTGGTGCCAGGTCCGGACTATAAGGTGGATGCATAAGAACCTCCCAACCAAGCTCCCGGAGCTTCTGGCGAGTCACTATCGATGTGTGTGGCCTGGCGTTGTCCTGATGGAACACAATTCCTCTCCTATTGGCCAAAGCTGGCCGCTTCTGGGCGATTGCTTCCTTCAGACGGTTCAATTGTTGACAGTACAGTTCCGAGTTAAGAGTTTTGCCGTAGGGGAGCAGCTCATAGTAGATAATTCCTTGCCAATCCCACCAAACACACAGCAAAACCTTCCTAGCCGTCAATCCTGGCTTGGCCACCGTTTCCGCCGGCTCACCGCGATTCGACCACGACCGTTTTCGCTTGACGTTGTCGTAAGTGATCCACTTTTCATCACCAGTGACCAACCGCTTCAGAAATCGGGTCGATTTTGTTGCGATTCAGCAGCGATTCGCAGATGGAAATTCGGTCCATGAGGTTTTTTGCGTTAACTCGTGTGGTACCCATACATCGAGCTTCTTTTTGTATCCAGCCTTATTCAAATGGTTCCTAACGGTTTTTTGTGCAATCTTTAGCTCTTGGGCAATCGAAACAGTGCTTACATGACGGTCGGACTCGACAATGTCCATAATTTTATCGATATTTTCGACAATTGGCCTTCCAGTGCGTGGTGCATCTTTGACATCGAAATTACCGGAACGGAATCGACGAAACCAAAATTGCGCGTGATTGGCTGTTACAGTATCAGGACCATAAACACTATTCACATTTTCAGCCGCCTGGCTTTCGTTTTCGCTTTTATCGAAAAAAAACTGTAAAATATAGCGTATTTTCTCTTTGCTAGTGTCCATCTTTGACGCGCACTCAAACAAAACTGAGTCAACTAATCACAAAACTGTCAGAAAAGTTTTTTAGTACGAAATCTCATCTTTCTAACGCCATCTAGTGGAACCCGATCGGACTTATACAACGCGAGATATAGATAACTAAAGCCATCTATTGGAAAAATAATGGATTTCTTTTTACTACACCTGATATATACATTAAAAAAATAATTTGAGTTTGATACTTCTAAAAATAACAATACGTGTTGCGCTTGTACTTGGCACCTTTATTTACCTTTTTGTTTAAGAAGGTAATTTTTATATAAGTTATACTTGTAAAATCGTATGTATTATCTTTAAGTTTTACTTGTAAAAACCTGTTATGTACACATATATACCTTCAAAAAAAAATTTGAATTTGAAATTTCTAATAATAACACAATAAATGTTGTGCTTATACTTGGCGCCTTTTTTTACCTTTTTGTTTAAAAAAGTAAGTTTTATAATAAATTTTACAATTGTAAAAATTTACGTTACGTACATTTTCTGTCGTTAGGTTTTTCTTGAATAATAATAACTTTTAAAAAGATATTTTTTTGAAATATTGGATACTATTAATAAACGTGTTAAATTTTTGCCATGAAAAGAATATAAACATTTGTAGCGCCTCTGGGCCAGTGTTTTTTATTTGCGTATCATCAGCTTCAATCCAATCAGATTTACCTTCTCTACATATACTTGTGTAATGACCGCTTGCAATGCACGATCCATGAT